CACCTGGCCTCTCTTTATGGCATGTCGTTGATGTTTATCAGGTTTCTCCTCTAGGACGTGGATGGGGTTGGGTATGGGTTTAACAGCTGCTGTGATGATGAAGCAGAGAAGGAACAGACAAACCGCTTCTGTTGAGAATTCATGCTGTCCCACCAGACTATGAACAGCATAACTACAGCAACAACAATGAATCTTTGCAGAGCATTTATTTTGTATACAATATTTCATTTAATCCTCACAATCACCCTTTAAGCTTATGATTATTGTTTTTTCCCATTTTCCATATGCAAAAAAAAAAAAAAGAAGCACAGAGAGGTTAAGTCCCATATTTAGGTGGCCCAGCTGGGACTGAAACGCAGGCAGCTAGCATTCCCAGCGCTATTCTTGTATTGATCTGGTTTGTCTTTGTACTCGCCGGTCTTTATCCTAGAAGAGGAGAATACAAGTGTCACGGCAGAGGGGTCTGAGACCCCAACTAGCCAAGCCCTCTCAGAATTACAGATGAGAGGGAAAAACAAAGAGAGATCAAGTGAGCTACCCAAGGTTGCACAGCATGATAGCCGCTAAGCAAGGGCTGGAACCTAGACCCTGATGCCCTGTTGCCACTGAAGAATAGATGGTCAAAAGCCTTCCTGTCCCGTGAATGAAAAAGATAAAAGAATGAGTGGGCCGGGCACGGTGGCTCACGCCTGTAATCCCAGCACTTTGGGAGGCTGAGGTGGGCAGATCACGAGGTCAGGAGATCAAGACGATTCTGGCTAACACGGTGAAACCCCATCTCTACTAAAAACACAAAAAATTAGCCAGGCGTGGTGGCGGGCGTAGTCCCAGCTACTCGGGAGGCTGAGGCAGGAGAATGGCGTGAACCTGGGAGGCAGAGCTTGCAGTGAGCCGAGATCGAGCCACTGCACTCCAGCCTGGGCGACAGAAGGAGACTCTGTCTCGAAGAAAAAAAAAAAATGGAATGAGTGGGTGAGTGACTGCATAATGGATAAACTTTGACGGAATGTGTCTATGTGGCTCACCCTTGGGTCTTCCTGGGGTGGCTGGGTCATGAGAACCAGGGGGTCAGAGGAAGAGGGAGATGACCAGGGTGTGCCAGTCTGGCAGGGTTGTGTGGAAGGGGGTGCCCTGCTGCTCGTGGTTATGGGGAAATCAACCCATGAAAGTATAACCAGCCTTTGAGCCCATCCTCTGGCACCTCATGGCCTTGTGTTCACACGGCTTCCTCTGTGGCCTTCTTATCATATTGCTAACAGCGCTAACTGGTGAAAGGGCGTCACTTTCAGAGAGCGCTGGGCAGTGGCTCCTCTCCCATTAGCTGTCTCCCATTATCTGGTACTTCGAGTGCCAGATAATGTCTATGACATGAATGTGCCTAGGCTCCTGCCTGGGAGGGAGAGGCTGTTTACTACTGCCCCTTGTTTTGCACACTGATCTTTGGGGGTTGCAAACGCTGGCACCTGTCCTCAGGGTCAAAACCAGTGTCTACATAGCAGAGTGGTCAGGACTTTGATGAAACTCTGAGACCTGCAGGAGTGTGGCCCACCGCAAACTGGAAATGACCCAGCCCACTCCCTTGGGCCTCCTGGGTGGGGCTGTGGCCAATTGTAGATGGCTCCTTTGTTGGGGAAGAAGGAGTCTGGGTAGCAGCTGGGTACCAGCCCCTGGGCTGGTGCCAGGACCGGGTCCTTGGGCAGGGCAGAGGGCTACATTTGTGGGAGTGGGGTGGCTTTTCTTGCTTCTGGCTGATGGGACTAAGGAGACTGGGAAAGGGGACAGGCCTCAGGGAGGGCGAGGGGAGGTGGCAAAGAGCTGCCGAGGCCCAGTGCATCAGGGGAGCTGAAGCAAGCTGGAACCAGGGACCGGCAGCCTTGTGCGTTTAAGATGGTAATTTGCAGATGGTTCCTGGTAGCTACAGGGTCTCTGAGGCGGAGCCTGGGTCTTCGCGTAGGATCCGCCAGCCCGGGTTCCCCCGCAGGTCAGAGGAGCCTTGGGGCGGGGCCAAGGTTGGCCCCTGCTTGGGAGGAGCCGGGATGCCTCTCTCGTGGTGATGCAGAAGGGAATTTGCTGACACTCCCTTGCCAGGTGGGGCTGGCTTCGCCCGGCCGGCGAAGAGGAGGACCCGCTGGCAGTCTCCTCCCAGGTGGGGAGCGTGGAGCTTGTCACCGCAGCCTGGCGGCCTGAGCGCCGCGCCTGGGGCTGGGGCCGCGGTGCTGAGGACGCAGATGTGGTGAGCACGCGACGCGGGTGCAGTGACCCGGGCTGGTCGGGCCGGGAAGAAGGGGCGCAGGATCCAGGTCCCGCACGGGGAGGGGGCGGGGAAGGATTGCTTGTTTCTGTGCTTTCTGAGACCTTGCATTGGGAGGGATGGGGGTAGGGGAGACTGCGCCACAGTCCCTTGCCACGCTGGCTGTCTCTAGCTTGTACCCAGGAAAGAGTGGCCTGAGCCGCCCACCCGGGAGGGCGTGGCGTTAGTAGACCGGTCTTCACTGGGTGGGGGGATGGAGGTGGGTAGGAGATTTGCTTGCGGGGTCCCCGGCCTCTTGCCTGACAGCCAGGTGGGAGTTACCGCTCTGGGCTACCCTCTCCCCCACCCAGGGATTCCCCGGGGCTCTGCCGCCCACTCTCTGGGCTGGGACGGGAGGGGGCAATCTGCTCCGCCGTTATGGGTTATGACAACGTCACTGCTGCGCTGCTGCCGGGCTGGCTGGGCTCCTGGTCCCCCAGGGGAACAATGCCACCCTTTCCTCATGTGCTTCCAAAGAAAGGCTCTTGCCTCCCTACTCGCCCTGGCCTTGAGAGAGAAACATTGTGTTTGGATGAAGGCCCTAGGGAAACTGAGGCCCAGGGGTGTTGTGGCTTGACGAAGGTCACTGAGCAGGCCCTACAGAGCTGGCCTCCCAGGCACTGCCTTCACCGAATGCTCTCTGGAGGGGCAGGGGCCCTTCTTCCTCTCTAGACCCTGGGGCCTCCCCCGACCCCAGCACCACATTTCCTCATCCCTGAGAATGCCAGGAGTTGCAACTTCTGCATGGGGCTCCAGGGTATCATGGGTGTAAGCAGGAATTAGATTGTCTGGGACAGCAGAAAATTGCTCGTGAAAAACACTCATCTGAGCAGAGGGGGTGTGAGCCTGTGCCGTTCTTCTGGGTTCAAGGAAAGAATGAGAGTTGGCTTTGAGGAGAAGGCCCGTGCTGAGGGGCTAAGGAGATGAACTTTCTCCTTCAACAGCCTGCAGCACTCCAAGAAGACGTGGTTTCCCTCAAGAAGGGTCCGTCTCTTAGCACCACCCTCTGTGATCACCTCATCCTTGTTCTCTCTCTGGCCCCTGTCCCTGGGAGAAATGGGCTACATTCCATCTATTGCCCTCAGAAGTGAACTTTCCCCTCAGAAGTGAATTCACCTTTTTCTTCTCCCGGGGACAGATGACTTTCCCTGGAGGGAAACTGAGGCAAGGAGAGAGTGACATTTTAGAGCTGGAGCCAGATGAGGAAATTGAGGCACGGAGGGTGGAGTGAGTTCTGCAGGTCTCTTACCTACATGCAGGTCTCCTGACTCCCCAGCCACCAAAGGGCAGACTGGAGGGGCCTCTTCCTGTCTTCTCTTTGCACCCCACAGTCCCAGCACTGAGAAGCTGAGGCTGCGAAGGGCCTCCTGACGGGTGTGGAGGTCGATGACGGGGGACAGCACCGGCATTTTCTCCTTCTTCAAGATATGTTTTTTAGTTTCTTGGGAAGGAAGCAGCTTGAAGAGGGGAAATGAAGTCCCTTGGTTACCTTCCCATCATGCCCCCACAGGGGTACACAATTTCTGTAGGCCTGTCGGAGCCAAAAACAGGCATCCCTCCTGCCCAAGTGCCAATAGCTGTGAGCATAGCTGGCTGGGGAGTGGGGATCCGCAGGTAGAGGGACTTCAGTTATCTCCCTGACAGCATCTCCGGATGGGGGGTTTGGGCCAGCACCTGTTTGCCCCAAGTGAAAGGAGTTGCCATGTGCCTGGCTCATGAATTGCTCCTTTTCAGACACCCTCTGAGTACAGCACCCCTGAAGCTGGCCCCTGCTGGCTTCACAGGAGCCTTGGGTTGCATGATGACCACCAGGAGCTGCTGGGGTGACCCTGTGGGAAGGAATGGGGTTCCCAGTAAACCAGATGGGAGCCAGCTGCTTGTGGGATGACTGTATAGTGCCAGAGAGGAGAGGGCCTACCATACTGGAGGGAAACTACACGATATGTGTCCCTCCCAGCTAGCAGAGAAAGGGTCAGGCCTCAGAGAGGCTCCCTGGTGAGAACCAGACTTAAAGAGCAGAGAGCCTGGACCAAGCGCCTCTATTGGCTGGCACTCTGCCCTCAACTTCTCTACCTGATAGCTAGACATGAAAACACCTTCTCCAGACGGGTGGGAGGGCTTTGGAAACTTGTCAAGTGTTTGTTACAGATGGGAAGTAGTATTCCTGGAGTCTCTGGTCTAGGTGGAAGCCATCTGTTTCCTGCCTCGATGGCGGAAACATGGTTGTTTCTTCTTCAGAGGATGCCCTCTCCCTCTGTGGCCAGCCTAGAGTACCCTTCTAGGCTGGGAAGGCAGGTCAGCCCTCCCCAGCCCACTTCAAGTAGTGCTTGGGGCCTTGAGGAGTTTCCTTCCCCTATCCCCAGCTGCCCATTACATTTAACATATTTAACAGGATGTTCACCCCTGTAAAATGAGGGTGTCTAGTGGCACAGTGGAGCTTCCTACAGGCCTGTACCTTCTCCACTGCCTCGACTCTCAAATCCCACGAACTCTGCTCTGATTCTTCCCGGGAAGCGGCGGGTGGAAGAACCATAAAGATAATGGGCATAAAGTGCTGGGAGCTGTTTGCACAGAGCGTCCAGTTTGCAGGAACCCACGTGGTGCTCAGGCCATGGGCAGGCTCACACTGGGAAAGGCTGTAATGAAAGTGCTCAGCGGAAGTGCTCAGCTTCCAGTGAGATCAGCAGCTTTTAGTGCCCTGTTTTGCCTGAGGTGGGGCCCCGATGCTCACTCTTCTTTCCTCTCGTGGGAGAGCAGTGGTTTTCACAGCTTACACATCAGCATGGGTGGTGTAAATGGAACTCCACATTCTTGCCCATGAGTTGGCTGGTGCAACTCCTGCAAGGTAGGGTTACAGCAGGAGCTGAGATGAGAATGTGGGCAGCTCATGAAGGATGGTGTGTCCTTGCTCTAGATCTGTCTGCATTGCTCAGGCCCAACCGAGGGTGGCTCTTAAGAAGAACAACGTGTGGCCAGTACTCCATGTTCTGTGTTTCTAGGGCAGGATATGTACTCAAGCTGCCACATTCCTTGCCAGCACCCCTGGGACTGGTGCTGAGACATGCAGAGGCAGAGTGGGCGGGGAAGGGGTGCCTCATTGTCACCTCCTCCCTCCTTCTAGTCATTAGGAATGCTTCCCAAAGGGAAACCAAAGCCTAGATCTGCTTAGAAAGGCGGGACTAGGACCCAAGTGTCCTGGGCTCCCACCTTCTGCTTTTCACAGCCTTCCACTCTGCCGTTTGACACGAGCACCCTGAAGATGAGATGGGAAGAGCTGGGCTGGAGGTGAGTGAGTCATGCCCAGCCCTGTGCCTGTAGACCTTCATTCCTGCCAAGCCAGGGCCTCTGGTGTCCTTAGAGGATCAGAGGCAGAAAGACCAGGCCGGCTTCCAACAGGAAACCAAACTGTCCCCTCCCCATTACTAAGTGGCCTGGCCAAGCAAGGTCCTGAAGACAGAAGCCTTCTCCTCACTCTGGCTGGGTCTTCTCAGAGTTGTGCCCAGCCAGGGGCATGCTGGCCTCAGGCCATGGAGTCGCAGCAGAAGAGAAAGTGACCCTAAGGTCTTTGGAGAGATAGGTGGGCAAGATGAAGCTGTGCGTGGTCTGCTGGGATACTGGCTGTCTGTTGGGTTTTGGGTGTTGAGGCCTCATTGCCTTGGGGTATCTGAGTGGCAGTGATTTGGCCATAGGCTAGAAACGCTACAGAGGGCAATGGAACATAGACACAGGGCCCTGTGGGGAAATCAGTCCTGCTTTGATGGAGGGGCATGGAAGCACAGAGGACCTGTCACATATGGACTCACTGCCTGGGGGAGCACTTGGGAGCTGCGTTCCCACCTGTTTCATTACCTGCTCATTTCACTTCCGTGAGTCTTCCATTTGCAACATGGTGAAGCAATTCCCTCCACACAGAGCCATTGGGAGGATGAATGGGAGGAAGCGGAAAGGTGCCCAGCATGGTGCTTGGTAACCAGGAGTCCCCTTCTTTCCATTTGTTCATCCCTCTGCCTGCTGAGTGGCCAACTGTCCAGGGACCTCTGGGATGGCAACCATGTTTTTTTGGTTGTTGTTTTTTTCTGAAACAGAGTCTCATTCTGTTGCCCACTCTGGAGTGCAGTGGCACTATCTCGGCTCACTGCAACCTCCGCCTCCCAGGTTCAAGCGATTCTCCTGTCTCAGCCTCCCGAGTAGCTGGGATTACAGGTGTGCACCAACATATCCGGCTAATTTCTTTGTATTTTTGGTAGAGACAGGGTTTCACCATGTTGGCCAGGCTGGTCTCGAACTCCTGACCTCAGGTGATCCGCCCATCTCAGCCTCCCAAAGTGCTGGGATTACAGGAGTGAGCCAACATGCCCAGCCAGACCATGCTTTTTTGATGACACCAAACAATGTCCAACAATGTCGACTGCTGCAGGCACTGTTAAAACTGAACTGTCTCCTTCAAAAAGGCTTCAGGCCATGCATGGTGGCTCATGCCTATAATCCCAGACTTTGGGAGGCCTAGGAGGGAGGATTGCTTGAGCCCAGCAGTTCAAGACCAGCCTGGGCAATATAGAAAGACCCTGTCTCTACAAACAAGTGAAAAAATTAGCCAGGCCTGTAGTCCCAGCTACTCAGGAGGCTGAGGTGGGAGGATAACTTGAGGCCAGGAGGTTGAGGCTGCAGTGAGCTCTGATCACACCACTGCACTCCAGCCCACATGACAGAGCAAGACCCTGTCTCAAAAAACAAAACAAAACAAAACAAAAAAACAAAAAGGCTTCTCACATCCCTGAGGACCTGGCAGAGGGGGAATCTTCTTAGAACCAAAGGGGGGTGTGTGTGTGTATGTGTGTGTGTGTGTGTGTGTGTGTGTTTGTGTGTCTGTCTGTCTGTCTGTGTGGTGTGGGCAGGGAGTGTCCTTCCATACAATGAACAAGCTGTTGCTGGACCAGGGATCC